CATTGGGACGGAACCTCGCATTCAGACAGGTAGCGAGTGAAGAGCCGAGCCAGTGTATTGATGAGTAGTGACAGCAGGTTCTTCAGGTGTTCAGGTCTGACCTTGTCTGGGCCGGGTGCTGTTTGTTTCTTTACCGACGAAATGGCGCGTCAGATTTCGGAAGGGAGAACATTGGGAACGACATATCCATCCTGTGGAATTTGGTATGTCGGCAAGTGGACATGGCTGTCGAAGAGATTTGAGTAGAAGTCATGGATAATCTTCTCCATTGCCGTTCTGGAGGATGTGATGGATCCATCAGGATGTCGGAGGGCAGTCATCTTGGTCTTGTAGTTGGCGAAGGACAGGCGGGCGTTACGAATACTTTTCCCGGCTTCTGCCGCATCTACCAGTACTTCTGCTCTTCTCTCTTTGAGGTCTTCCTTGATCGCATCTCTGCACTGTTTTGTGAGCTCGGACGTTAGCTTGCGGTTGCCTGAGGCATGTGCCAAACCATGCTTGCGAATTAGCTCAGGAGCTTTCGAAGATAGGTGATTTTTTGTAGCTATCTCTCTCTTGGCGTTCCTCGTACATTCATGGAGGTGCTGAACTAGTCAATCGTATTCCTTGTCAATGTTGTCAACAATGGCATCTTCCCATGTTGCAGCAATAGTGCCAAAGAGTTCCCAGTTGGTGGTCGTTCTGGGAGTTCTCTTTTTGAACTTTGCAGCCCTTTCTCCCCACTCTGTGAAGTAGAATTTTGCACGAAGGAGACGGTGGTCCGATCCCGTTCGAAATTTTGGGACAACAGCGACATCAGTCAGGCAAAACCGTCGATTGAATATGATGTGGTCTATTTCATTGTGGAATCGTCCACCGGGAGACTCCCATGTCCATCGTTTAGATTCTGCCTTCTGGAACTGTGAGTTACCATGAATGGTCTTGGTCGACATGATGAACTCAGACAGTCTCTCACCCTGTTCGTTCCATTGTAGGCCATGGGTCCCGATGTGAAGTTCTTCAGCTGATCTTCTCGGTCCTATCTTGGCATTAAAATCACCCACAATGATCTTGTAGAAGGTGTGGTCTTCTTTATAGAACTTCTCTAGCTCCATGTAGAACTTCTCGATTTCTCTTTCAGAAGCTGTAGAGGAAGGAGGTGAGCTTCGAGCAGGAATCATCTAAGCTGCGGAACCGCCGATCCAAAATGTAAATGCCTGCGGGGGCCGGGGGCGGGGTGGGGGAATGAGGAAGGCCTCAGAAAACCGGTTGGGGAGAACCTTTATTCCCCTTGGTCCCTCTTCCCGCTGAGACCCAGCAGACTGTCCCCCATGCCCGCCCATACCCTACCCCCCCGGAATCCAAGAGCCTTGCGCTCATTTGGGACGCTAACCGTAGGCTGAGGGATCTGCAATATGCTCCTCCATGAAGCAGCCGAAGCCAGAGAGGTTGGTTGAGATACTGGGGATGCCCATAACTGTGCATTCAGCTGCGAGGAGGCAAGAGAAAGTCCTGCTGAGGGGCTCCCATGGTCGGACAGCGCCAGCAAAGCCTCAACAGCGACCCCTACTTGCGTTTCTGCCCAGTGTGGGTGCCGTGCAGAGTCAGTCAGAAGGGAAAAACCTGGTGTGAGGGAACCAGGTTTTTTTCTGATAAACAGACGCGGAAAGGGGAACGCGCTTGCCCCAGACTTGAGGATGAAAGAAAAATCAGTAAGGCTGATCACTGTTAGCTGGATTAGGAAACTAATTTATCGAGCACCTATTCTATTTTTTTAGTTTCTTTTTAAAACTAAAAAAAAAAAAATGAATCAATCACTACTTCCACTATCCAGCCGTCGCCACACTTCAGGATGCTTTCCGGACCCGCGCGGCCATAAGACACTAAATACCCAACTTCCGGAATTGTTGTACCGTATTTGATAGGGTTCAAATATGGTAACACCTACAAGGGTGATTAGAGGTCACCCCAAAAGCCTCTATCCCTCTCAGAAAGACTGGCAAGCTACTGAGAGTATTCCACCCGCACAGAAGAGCCTGGCAAGCTATCTGTTGTGTATTCGATATGCCAAAACCAGTAACTACAACTGGTCTCATTCACCTGACCCTGAAGGCTTCGCCAACATGGCAACACTGAGAAGGATGAGAAAGGAGAGGCTGACAAAATCTCAAGGCCAACCTAGGCTGCCACAACGAAGGAAGACAAAAATGATCGTCTGTACTTTCAATGCACGTATGCTAGCATCAGATGCATCCATCGAGGACCTGATGGTACAAGTGCGAATGATCAAGTACGACATCATTGGTCTGACCGAGACAAGAAGGCACGAATCTCACCATACCGTTTTCGACACTGGAGAAGAATTGTTCCTCAGAACATGCGATAAAAGAGGTGTTGGAGGCGTCGGTGTCCTTGTCAACACAAACTTGGCCAAGAGCATTGATTCATGCGAATGCCTAACAACCCGAATCGGACGTTTACATTTGAATAGATGTGGCTCATTGCCTGCAGTTTCTATCTTCGTTGTCTACGCACCAATATAAGAATTTAATGATGAGAAAGAAGTCCCAGATAGATAAGTGATAAGAGCTACAGAGTGAGAGCAGTTTGGAAGGTTTACAAGGTAAAAGACAGCCCAGAAAATAAAGCGGAGAAGAAATAATACAGTAAAGGAAGATTAGACTTAATAGGAGGAACTGGATTCCTAAGATTGTTTCACATAGTTTATTCTCTCTGTCTTCATTTCATTAAAGAAGCAGTTCACCCCAGGAATCTAAGGACCTTTCTGGTTTGGACTTGCTGAGAATCTATGATGGCAGGAAAGATGAGCTGAATCCCTGAAGACAGGAATCTATTTCCTTGTTCATCAATGAGTCTCAAGTCTCCATTTGATGTCCAAGCACTCAGAAAACAAACTGTTCACTTTTCACCCAGAAATCAGTCAATGAGCAGCATGACTGCTTTTGGGGAAGAAGCCACCTGATAGGGAGCATAAAGCTGTAAATATGGACCAAATCTGTGAAATTTTATTACAGATATAATAATTAACCTGTAATTACAGATATAAAGAATGCCTGATTTCTGCTTCCCCAAAGGTACATCAGGATTTTGTGAGACAGTGAACAACATTAGGGAAGAAAAGGCACTAAAGCCAAAACACAGACCTGTTGGAGAGGTGGAATGGTCTAAGTTGCCTAGAGGCCAGGAGGTATGGATGAGACTTGAAAGATAAAGCTGGAAATGGGAACTGGAATCAAATGAGTTCAGTGCAACTCACTTAACAACACCCCCTTCTTTCAGAGATTCAATGGAGGTGCCTGTTCAAAGCACAGGTCTTCAACCAGGTGGCTAAGTGTTGGTGTCAGGGTTTATTGAGCAATCAATGTAACCCTTCTATGCACTCATTTCCAAATAGCGAAAAAGTTAGCAATCAAAGACCCAGACATGAGAGCCAGTGTAAAAACTGAGAAGCCAATACCCTAAAAGATTTGGAATAGTGCAAAGAACAGCAGAAAGCATGCAGTGCATTATCTCTTACAAAAAAAGTATCACTACTACTTTTATTAACTCTACAATTGACTGTGTTGCTGAAAGAAGTATAAATAATAAGTGTCAGTAATAAGATCACAGACTCTCTTTCAGGTGCTTAACATGCTTGGGTGAAGTTGCAGGTAGGGGACCAGGGAAGGGAAGGTTGAGAAACCATCTAAGTGACTCTACTTCTAGATGCCACCCAAAATGCCAAATTTTCATGACAGGAAGGGGAGGGGAATGCATCTGGAGTCAGCTTAAATAGAAACAATCAAATAGAAATGCTTGGCAATTGCCTGGATATGAGTGGCAAAGAAAAATGAAATAGAGTAGCAGAAAGAAGAGAAATGGATTTTGCCTGAAAATATGTCCAATCTGTTGACATTAGGAAACTAATATTGCCTGCTAGAAGAAGAGTTTCCTCTTCAATGGCTCTGGCACACAGCAAAGTTTCATTCATTGTTGGGTGAGTGATTACTTATATTACCAAGTTCTTATGCAGGAGTGGGACATACCTTCCATGGGATGCATTTGAGAAAAAAAATTAGTGAAAATGGGTAAATATTCCTTGATATTTTTTACATTCCCTAAAGTTTTTAATATAGATATAAACGAACCTACCACCATGAAGTCACCACCAGTGAAACCATCATGACAGGCTGATCATTGTCATCGGGAGATCAATGTCACTGAAGTGTCAGGAAATCAGAACAGCATGCCCTATTGATTGATGCCGCCAAAATGGAACTACTTTTTTGCTAAAAAAAAAAAAGCAACTCTGAACTGCTCACTAACATCCACGTCTGCTCTGTTCTAGATTATAAAAGGCCTTCAATAACCCACGCCCTCTGCCAGGAAACCTCGCTTTCACTTGCCTAAAAGTGACTTAAAATACTTTGCGGTAGGTAACTTCTACCGCACACTGGAATAGAGTGGCAACCTCGGGTGCGATGTCATCCTCTAAGAACTTTCCCCTTTTGTTACCTTTTTTCCCTGCCCGTTTTGTTACCCTTCTTCCCTGAAGCTCCAGACAAAACTTTAGTGAAATGTACAAGGAAGGGGCAGAAGTCCAAGTAAGTTAGGAAAATGCCTGGAACAGGCCTGATAGGAGATCCCTTAGCAAAACTCCCCATCCAGGTTACCCTTCACATCCCAGCTCTTGCCAAGCTCATTTCCACTTCATTCAAACTCTAGGGCATCCCAACACCACTGGATGTGGGCCCCGGTCCCTCATAGCCAAGTGCAGAGGGGCCTGGAACATCAGCAGGCCCATAATTTAAATCGACAATGAATTCCTAACAAATTACTTCCTCCTTTGCGGGGAGTGGGGGGGGGGCCTCAAACCAGAGGACCCAATCAGCAGGCAGCGCCCAGACGCCGCCCCTGCGCTCGCTCCGCCCCGCTCCCCCACCTCCACGGCGGCGGTGGCGGCTGCGGCCCCGCACGCGTCCGAACTGACGCCCGCGGTCCTCCTAGAAGGCGGCAGCTACCTTCTCCGTCCGTCGGAAGATGCAAATGTCCTGGGACTTCACCATCAGCGTCCAGTCGGTCCCATTCAGCGAAGCCTGCTGCAGCTCGGCGCCGGCCGCCTGGAACGACTCCTCCGAGAAGCTGGCGGCTGCACAGTCCATCCTCGCTCAGCTTCCGTGCCTTCCGCCGCAGGGGAGGATGGGGACAGACCTGGCGTGGGTTCAGGGGCGGGGCGAGAGGCTGGTCCCGTGTGTGATTGGTAGGGAGCGGAGGAGCGATAGTGGGGAGGCGGGACTTACGGGGAAGGAGGAGCCAAGGGAAGTGGGCGGGGCTGAGCTGGAGGTGAGACCCCCCCCAAGTAGGAAAACTTGAGGAAAACTGGGAAGGGATCTTGGGAAAGATGGAGATAGGAAAGTTGGGCGAGCTTTTAGACGGAAAATTATCTTTTTAGATGGAAGGGAAGTGGAAGAGGAACAGAAACAGCTCAGTAGGAGCCCATCCCAGTCCTCTCCAGACTTGGCCTTGCTTCTGTATCGTTGTGGGAAACACTGGGGAATGTCTCAGAGACATAAAATATTTCAGAATAGTAGATTTGGAAAGTGAGATTAACAGAACCTAAATGCTTAAAAATCTAGGGGTCAGATGCTAAGACTATATTTCAGTATAATTTCTGTTTTTTTTCTATTATGCATTAAAAAAAAAATTCTTTTAGGAAAAGGGCCCTGGGATTCACCAGAAGACCAAAGCTTCTTATAGCACAAAAACGGTTAAGAAAACTAATCCATAATGGATCTACAAGGTTATTTCCCACTATGCAGAGTGGAAATGATCTGAAAGGTATCGTGGTACCCACCAAGATTTATGTGGCTTGCAGCATTTATGTCTTTGTACTACTCAAAGGTTCCTTTTGCTTCCTCAGGTCTCTTTGGTATTACTGTATTTCAACCAGCTCGAATAAAATAGTCTAAATATTAAAACAAGGTAACCCCCAAGGGTGCCAAATAAACACTGGAAACCCTTATTTCCCAATCTGTAAAATGGGGTAAGAATTATACAACCAGTTAGAATTGAAAAGGAAATAAATATGGAGCATTTTTATAGTCTTCATAAAAAAGAAAAACTCCAGCTTGTTTTACAGTACTTTACTGAAAATTTTCTCCTCCCATTATTTGAAGTTTGGTGGTGAGCTTTAAATTTAGCTGTAAATTACATTTATGCCAATTTAAAAAAAAATAAATGAAAGCCTATTGGCAGCATGGATAAATTAAATTTGGCAGCACAGCTTTAATGCAGAGCTGGTTGTGTTTTGTCTTATAGTGGTAGGAGAAGGTGTGTGGTATTTTCACAAACTATTTACAAGGGGATTAGAGGCATTCATTCCTACTTTTCTTACGATGCCTTTCATGTTTGCTCCTTTTTGTAAAATCTTTATTATACTTAAACTAGAATTCAGTTTCTTGAAAGAGAAACTTCAAAAATAATTGGCATTGAAAGTTTCAGATATCATCAAGGATGGATGTTACAAAGATGTATTGATGAAGTTGTACCTTTATCACTGCATTACAGTAGACTGATAAGACAAGCATGAAAATATAAATGGTATCTTGCAAAATACAAGATAAAGGTCAATAAATTTTTATTGTGTTTATTGCACATAGTTTAATACTCCATGTGCTTAGAGTTGTATATTTTTAATAAACTCAGAATATAAAAAAAATTTGTTTGAGTATATTACAGAAAACCTATGTCAGTTTTATCACAGTTAATATATCATATTACAAAACCATTTTTCATTTTATATTATCTTAGAGACCTAGAAAAGTCTTGGAGTCTAAAAATGCCTTTATTTTCTAAAACTTGCCGATATAGCAAGTTTTTGGGTTTTTTGTTTGTTTGTTTATGAAAAACGCTTTAAAGAAACTTTCAACAGTATAGTTTTAGCCAAAACTGATTTCTAATACTGAAGTGTTGGATAAAATATGACAAAAAAATAAATACAAGTTTAGTGGGAAATAAAGAGTATGATTCAAATTTTATTGAAGAAAGAGTAAATGCCAGGAACACAAATCACTGGATGGCATTAGAAGAGATAACTATCTCTCACCTCTCCCTTATACAGGTGTTGCTCCAGAAAGGAACTTCCATTTGGTCAAACTTCTATTTTTAGCATATAGAGGCCAACTCTAGCAGAGTTTTAGAACTGGAGTCACTCCTGGTGATATAGGCCTGAAGGTTTGATGGTAGCCTATTCCCTGTAGTGCCCTGTGGGTGCATGTGATGGCAGGATCAAACTGAGGGGCCACTGTGTCTGGCATTTGTACTCTTTGTACAAAATTCTTTGAAAAAGTGTTTGTATTCTTTCCTCAGTAACTCTTGACCTTGCTTATTCACTCCTCAAGGAAAGAGGAATGGTTTAAATCATACCTTCTCAAATTGGGTTACAACTCTATATAGGTTGTATAACTTTTTGGGGGGGTCACACTCGGCAATGCACAGGGGCTACTCCTTCCTCATGCACTCATTACTCCTGGAGATGCTCAGGGGACCATATGGGATGCTGAGAATTGAACCCGGGTCAGCCACATGCAAAGCAAACACCCTACCCACTGTGCTATTGCTCCAGCCCTGGTTGTATAACTTTTAAAAAAGTTTTAAGGAAGTTTCTGTATGATATATAGGTATTCAAAATATTCAAATACACCTTAAGACCCAAAGGGAGGAAGAGAGAGAGAGAGAGAGAAGGGAGAAAGTGTCTGTGTAGAGGCAGGTTAGGAGAGAGGCAGGAGGGAAATGGGGGACATTGGTGGTGGAAAATTACACTAGTGAAGGGACCGGTGTTGGAACATTGTATGACTGAAACAATTCTGTGTATCTCACACTGATTCAATAAAAATTAATATAAATAAATTTAAACATTCAAATATATAGATATTCAAGATATAAATATTCAAAATAAGTCAAACATTTGTTTACCTATGTTTACCTACATTTCCTATTTTTAATACCTATATATCTGGGGTCATGTGATGGTTACTTTGATTAAAATGAATCACAAATGGAAATGTTTTAAGAAACCATGAATTAAACCATTGATGAATTTGGTAGAAAAGGCTACTGAGCATGTTTGTATTAACTCTTTCCAGCTCAGTATTTCTACTGTAGGATATAATAAAAGGCAGGACTTCTAACCTATCCAAGATTATATAGTAAATTAAAGAGGGAAGTTTCTGCTGCCATTATGGCTTTTTTAAAAAATGCTGCCTGTGCCTGGGGAGAAAACTTTGTCACAGGAAGAGTATTATAATTCTCCCAATTGCTCAAGATTCAAGCTCTGTCATAAACTGCTTTGTTGCAATATAGGTGAAATGTTATTCTCATATAAAGGTGAAATGTTATCTGGTCATCTCTATTTGAATTGAGTCAGAACACAGGTAGGGGTAAGGGTAACATTATATTTGAAACTTCCTAAAACCCCTGCAGATAGAAACTCTAAGCATTGAAGATTGGGGTTCTCATACTCACATATGGGACTGAAAACAGAGCCCAGGGCTCTGGGCTCACACTTGCTTATGGCAAGTGTGAAACTGGACTAAGGTTTCCTTTATAAAGTCTGTATCCTCCAAAAGTTGTCCCTTCTATTCTGAGGAAACCAATACCTCCCCACTTCCCAACCTATAGACTATGGAGTTTGAGGAAGATCGTATTCTTCCTGCAGTCTTGGGTGGAAAGATTAAAAGGCATCTTGGAGAAACCAACCCCTAAGCCTGTCAGAGATCAAATTTATATTTATGTTATTTCTATTGAGTAGAACCTACAAGGAGGTCAATGAAGAAAAATCTGGTTCAAGACCATTGAATCCCTGCCAAAGCTAAAATCAGGGACACCTTCACAAGTAGAAAAGTAGGACACAAGGAATTAGTCAAAAAAACACCCACAAAAAGCATGACAGAGACCTGAGGAAACACTCCTCATGATAGGCAATGCATGACTATACAGGACAGTACAAGTAAGAATAATTACTGAAATTGTATTTATGGCAATTCAAGAAAAAATGGTTGATAAATAGTATACTAAGAAAAAGATAAATGAATTTGACAAACCATATAGTTCTATGAACTTGAAAAAGATCAAATTCTTATTCTTCACATTTCAAGAAAGGAACTATATATATATATATATATATACATATGTGTATACATATATACACACACATATGAACCATGTTGTATATAGCAAAATGCACAGTATATACATAAGCTTATGCTATCTAATAAAATGTTATACATACTAGAATATATAAATATGTTAACATGTATTCTTGTATGTTCATATTTTAATTGTAGTATATTCTGTCATGTATTTTCATAATTACATGTCTATCATATGCATATACTCCATCATATACATAATGTGTTTAATATGAGCTTGATTTTTATATATTCAATTATACATATTCAAATACATATTTTCGTTCATAGAACATGACATTACCTATGTTCTATTACATATTTCATTGAAAACGGATTGTATGTAATGTCATTCTAAACAGATTATATATAATGCAATGCACCACATGCATTTATATAGATGTAATGGAATGCATACAGTTTAACATAGTAATTCAATTTAGAAGTAAGGTAAGATTAATACCTGTAATTTCCATGTACAGCAGACTTAGAAGTGAGCCATGGTCTTAGGACAGGAATGCTTGTGGCAGGGGAGCAGGTCCCATCTCTCCCTGCCATTTGGCTCATCCCTTACTGCTAAAACGTAACTTGTTTGTTACGTGCCCTGGTCTCTATTGAGCCCCGGCTGCTTCTGGGAGCTTCTGCCGCTTCTAGAAGAGAAACCCCCACAACTCCCCACCTATCCTTGTTTCTCTCGCGCTCCACCCACCCAGTCCTCACCCTCTGAACGCCAGCACCTTTTCTGATCGTTAATTGCACAAATGAAATCGCCTTCTCTTGTCCCTGGCTTGGGAGACTTCTGACAGCTCAGCCTCTGATCAGTGAACTTGACTCTGCCCTGCAGGTACGTGCCGCCAGGTTCTGGCGGCCGCTGCCAGAAACTGACGTTGCAGCCGGGGAAACCTTTCATATGTCCGGTTGGGTCAACGTTCCAGATTACGCACAGTGTGGTTCTGGGAGCTCTTGTTAGGATAATATTTTCTTACTAATCCTGCACACTCTTAGAGTTAACTGGTTCCGTCTTGAATACCTGTATGGCCCTTTTTAGGATAAGGTGTAGTGTTTGTAGGTTAG